GTTAGTGTGTGTGTGTGTGTGTGTGTGTGTGTGTGTGTGTGTGTGTGTGTGTGTGTGTGTGTGTGTGTGTAAATATGTAAACCTCTTATAACTTTTGAACGGTTGAACCGATTTCATCGCGGTTGGTGCCATTCGAAAGGGCTTCACTAAACTTAGATTTCCTGAAAATTTGAACCGATTCGGACCGATAGATTTTGAGAAATTTAGAGAAATCTCCAAAAAAATAGGAAAAAATAGAGAAAAAATTTTTTTTAGAAGTGGTTTTTTTGGAATAACTTTTAAACGGCTCTACCGGTCGATTTCAAAAACTAATCAGCTCTCAACCTTAAAAAACCACGTTGATTGCCGCCAATCCGGTCAAAATCGGTTGATTCGTTCAAGAGATATCGTGAACGAAAAAAAACCGAAAAAAGTGTTTTTTCGGAATTACTCTAAAATTTCTAGTGTAACCAATTGAAACTTAAGAATTCTTTATGAGGCTTAAAAAACTGCGTAGAATGCCGCCAACCGCGTGAAAACCGGTTCATTCATTCAAAAGTTATTGCGATTTGAAAATAAAAAAAATAGTGTTTTATCAAACGTCTATCAAACTTTTGAGCTCGAAGAGCTCAAAAGCATACAAAAGCTATTTTTTTGAGCTCGGAGAGCTCAAAATAATACACAAATTGCATTTATAAGCTCGAAGAGCTCTAAAACGTCATAAGTGCAATTTCAAGCGTTTAGGTATAGAATTGGCGGGAAGTTGCAGGGATGGCCTTCAGGGTCAACCGTATTCCTAATTTTTTTTTATCGTTATATTGTTCTTAATGCATGATCATACATGGTTATGCACGATGATGCTTGCACATGTATGGTCATGCCTGAATATTCGCCGAATCTAAAAAGGCATGATCATGCTTGCTCATGCATGGTCATGCTTTCTCAGGCCTGGCGAATATTCAGGCATGGTCATGCATGAGATTAACACGTGGTCTTGCATGATCATGTATGATGATATTTTTTTTTTTATATAAATTTTTAATTATTTCATCTTAACTAACCTCTGCTCATTGACGGTGATGGTTGTGACAAGAGAGTAGCTAAACCATGATAAATAGCACCTTGTTTAGCAACTTCTAGTGTTACTGTAGGTCCTGTTCGTACCAGATATTCTGCTGCTCTGAAATAATAAAAAAGTATAAAATCGAACAAATTAAAATGATATACAGAGTGGATGGCATAAAAATGTAAAGATATAGAATACATTTAACTGGTTGAGCCATGCTTGATTAATTAACAAAATTTAGAAGATTTGCAGAAATTGGCTAATTGAAAACTGTACGGAAAAAAAAATTAACGAAAATTACATCATAATCTAAGTCTAGATTTTTATGAACTTTTCGCTATTATCGATTGTTCATCAAATTTTCACGTTTTGAGGCTCTACCAAATTAGGTGACTGAATAGTAGTTACGGACAGTGTTTCGGATAACTTAACCGGTAGAGCCTTTGGCGCGTAACCAAATAGTCCGGGTTCGAGTCCCGGTCTGGGCGGTCCGAATTATTTTTTCGGTTACCAAAAAATTCTTACTGAGTAAGGTTCCCCCTTTTCCCTTTATCCTCTCTTTCCTCAGTTCCCAAATTTGTCTTTAATGACAAATTTAGCTGCGAAATATGGAAAGCCATTCTGTGTGTGTATAAATAAAATTTTGTTACTCGATATCTCAATAGTGAACCTTTGGTTGAGATGTACGACATAGAATTCAAACAGATCCATTAAGCTCTAAAGTCTAAAAAATTTCAAAACAGCGTTTTCTTTAAATTTCTAAGCTCGAAGAGGTATTAAAATTGATATTTTGAGCTCAAAAGAGCTTGATTGCTCAATCTTACTCATATTTTCAAGCGTTTCGAGTTCGATCGTGGTGAGAGATTTCAAGGATGACTTCCCTGAAAAAAAAAAAAAACATTGAGACAAAGAAAAAAGTATTAAAAAGTATTGAATTGACTAGAAAACCAGTACTCTTCAATACTTCTTTCTTTGTCTCAATACCATTTTTTTATCGGGGTTTCGGGGTCAACCATCTTTACTTTTTCTATAATAGTATGTTACACTACAAGGGCCAAAAGTGGAAATTCCTGCTATTTTTTGCCAATTCCTGCCATGGGCTTTAAAACTTTTGTCCGTATAGTGTGTACTATTTCTCTTCATAGTCAATCAAAAGTACGTTAATTAGGGGAACCTGGGGCGCGAAGGCCCCCCCTAGGGCATAAGGGGACATCCATTAATTACGTGAGCTCAGAATGAGGGGGGAGGGGTCCAATGAAATCTCACTAAATCTCATCTAAGCCGAGGAGGGGATAATCAAAAATCTCACCTCAACTTCAAAAAATATAAAATATTACAGACATTAAAAAAAAATTATTTTGAGTGTTTATTTTGCCCGCTAAAATAAATTTTATGTCTATTAAAATCATTTACGCTGATGATTTAAACAAGCTCTTCTCAGAGCTAATGGTGGATTTCTTTAACATTATAATTATAATATAAATTATAATATGTATGTATAAAAAAAGTACATGAGTCTCCATGGATTGAGTAAAAATTAAAAAAAAGTGTTGTTTTTATGGTTTTTTTGCTTTGAATTTTATTTAATTTAAATAAATTAACTATAGTATACTTGAATGGTTTATTATTCTTCCGAATAATAAAAATAATTTTAATTTAAAATATTTTTAGCGTCAATCTCACGTAAGGGGAGGGGGGGGTCCAGACAAATCTCACTAAATCTCACCTAAGGGGGGGGGGAGGAGTCTAAACTGATCGAAAAATAGCTCATGTAATTAATGGATGTCCCCTAACGGCCTCCCTCAAAAAATAGGTAAATTTTTTTTTTTTCATTTTCCGTCAAGTTATGACTGTAATGATGTTTTTATGATATTTTGGGCTAATATGTGGTATGTAGGGCATAATAGACTACTCGAAAAAAAAATTGTAACGAAAAAATTATTTTTTTTTTTTCGAATTGTGATAAATTTAAAGATTTCAATCTTTTAGATCTTTTTAGGTCAATGGTACTTATTTTGGGTAAGATGAGTTAGGAAAAAATTTAATTAACTTGAAAAATTCAACAAAAAATTGAATTATACAGCTTACAAAAAATTGAAACACACAGTTTTTTGAAATTGAAATAGTAATTATATTATTAATTATTAATCATGGTATTCTCTGTGCCACGCAGAAACCCAACCTCAAAGTTCTATTTGAGTTCCCCCCAAGATGTCTTACTTTACGCAATTCATATTTATAATTTTAACTTGATGAGAATATATAAAAAAAAAAAATAAAAAAGGTCTGGTTCAAGATATTATGTATTTTAGAAGCTCAATCTGAAGACTCAACATGCAATGTTAACAAACATTAAACTTTGAATAAAACGTGAAACATAAATTTTCTTTAACTATGGAATTAGCGGGAAGTTGCAGGGATGGCCTTTAGGGTCAACCGTTATCCTAATTTTTTTAATAATTTCAATTCTTTTGTTTGTATATACAGATATACAGTTTGCATGGAGTGACTGTTTCTCAATTCTTTTCTATCACTATAGTGAGTAAGAATATATTCTTAACCAGGGTGTGTGTGAAAGTATGTGAACCGCTTATAACTTTTGTACGACTAAAAAGATCGGAACCTATCAAACGGCGTTCGGAAGAGTTTCCCCAAACTTAGATTTCCTGTGAATTTGAACCGATTCGGACTGATAGATTTCGAGAAATCTAAAAAAAACTAAGAAAAAGTTTTCTTAAATGTTGTTTTTTCGGAATAACTTTTAAACGGCTTTATCTATCAACTTTAAAAGCTAATCAGCTTTTGAACTTGAAAAACCACGTCAATTGCCGCTAATCCGGTCAAAATCGGTTCATTCGTTCGAGAGATATCGTGAACGAAAAATTTCAAAAAAAGTGTTTTTTTTTACATAACTTCGACATTTCTTGTCGGATCGTGTTTGATGAAATTAAATAATTATTAGAGCCCAAAAAACCACGTCGATCGCCGCCAAGAACGTGAAAATCGGTTGATTGGTTCGAGAGATATCATTGACGAAAAATTTGGGAACAAGTGTATTTTTAACATAACTCCGACATTTTTTTTCGGATCGTTTTTGATGTAACGATCTAACTATACGAGCTCAAAAAACACATCGATATTATCCTAGAACGTCAAAATCAGTCGATTGGATCGTGAGTTATCGTCGAACAAATTCGGAAAAAGTAAATTTTTCAAATTTCTCCAAAATTTTCGGTCTGATCAATTTGTGTTTAAAAGTAACTCAGAGGATTCGAAAAACTGCGTCAAATGCTGCGTCTATAATCGGTTTATTTGTTCAAAACAATAAAATGACAACAGATATTAAATCAAATCTTTCTTTTTTATTATTTCAATTCAAGTAAAATTCAAATAAAGTATTTTTTTTTTTTCTTAATTTGTTCAAAGTCGCATAAACTACTAAGGTCATGAGCGACTACGGTAGGGGGTAAACTTTTGAGATTGGAACTCGTTTTATTTCTTGGGCTGAGCAGAATAATACACTTAAATATTGAAAATATTCATTGGTGTACGCCGGACTCGAACCCGATCCAATGCTTTGGTAAGCAAGGACCGGATCCGATAGGCTACTGCGCGCCAAAAATAAAGTATTGTAATTTTACAAACTTAGCTAATCTAAAAATATTTGTAAAATTACAAAACCGTTTTGTAAAATTAGTAACCTGACTGAGCTATATATGTTTTGTAATTTTACTATACCCGATTGTAATTTTAAATAAATGTTTTGCCTATTAGCTTCCAATACATTTCTTGTAAAATTACAATAGAAATTTTTGACAGTGATAACTAAGATGAGAATATTTACTTATTTGTGTGTTTCAATAACAAAAATTTAGCTTTTAGCTGATATTTTATTTTAATTTATAGCAATTGACACGTATAAACATCGATATAATTGTTAAGCAAGTAATCTTCAAGTTATACGTCATAGTAAGGATGACACAGATAACGACTATTGTTTGACGGCACAGTAGCACTAATCTCATCGGTATCGGTCTGCACGAAAATATTTTTTCTCCCGCTGTTATGTGGTTAAGGGTGTGCACGTAATTCGACTAGGGAATAAATGTTATTAAATATATGATTATTTAATAAATGAGTGATCGCGAAATGAGCCTCAAATTTATAGGGTATTCACGTGAAGATAAGTGTGATAGTCGCTACGAATTAGAGGCATGTCAGAAGCCGTTAATTTACTGTCCTCAATTAACACAACTGTAATACTTACTTTTCTTGAGTTATTCCAACTAAACTTTGTCCATCAACTTTAAGTAATTGATCCCCAGCTGTTAAACGACCATCCTTAAAATAAATATTGAAAGAGTAAATAAATAATTCAATTTTACTGAACCTACTAAGAAAGAAAATTATTTTTGATTACTCACAATATCAGCGGCTCCGCCTGAAACTACGCTTTTGATGTATATTCCTAATCGCTCTTGACCAGCTCCCTAAAAATATAAAAAAGTGCAAAATATTATTGATTTCATCAAGTTGAAAATAACGGAGAATCAAAAGCTTATTTTGTTATTGATTATTTTATTTAAATATATTTATTTTTGACTGTTACTAACTCTTTGTTTCTTATTGATAATTTTGAATTATTTCATATGTTGTTGCATTAAGTAATTATTTCTAGGGCTGCACACTTTAACCGGCCAAGCCGGCTAAAAAAGTTAGCTAAATTAATTAGCTAGCTAACCGATAGGCTTAGCTAATTTAACTGGTTAACTTAATTAGCTCAGCTAATTAGCCAACGGCTAACCGGCTAATTTTTTTTCAGCTATTCACTGATTCCTTTTCTACAGAAAGGTTCAAAAAATAATATTAAGGCTCTTCTTTTTTGTTTAAAGAAACGATAGTCACGAAATTTACTTATTTAATATTTTATCAATAATTTATTTTTTATTTTTATTTATTCAAATTTAAATGCCAAAGCAAAAAGCCAAATGGCGAAAATACAAAAAAAAATCTGAAAAACAGTTGACCCTAAAGGCCATCCCTGCAACTTCCCACCAATTCCACACCTAAACGCTTAAAATTACACTTATGACGTTTCTGAGCTCTTCGAGCTCAAAAGCCTGATAGAAGTTTAATACAACAGTATTTTTTGAATTTTCAAACTACAATCATTTCTAAATGAATAAATCGATTTTCACGCGGTTGTCAGTAATCCAC